AGCACCAGTTATAACAGAAAATGACCCACTCAGCGAATTATGGTATAAAAAAATGCATATCTGAATAACCATGACATGTGTACTTCACTTCTTTAGTGTATTATTCAACCAGAAACTTTTCCATGTGTGACTGCCTTAGCAGGTAACGTCGTGTAGGGGAGCAAAAGCAACCGTGCAAGGCGAATTGCATGAAAAGGCTATTCAGTTAACAGGGTGTCTGTAGCGACCAACTGACGGAACCCTTTTTGTCTTGAAAAGCAAATCTGGGAGAATGATATTGTTACTAAGAGGAGCAAAAAGATTCAGCTTCTTGGTGGCCATTTAAATTCGTATCTCATGAAAAATGCCAAGGATTTCATGTAACATGATACCGACTTTCCAAACGGAAGATGGCATTCTCTTGATTGAATTAAACAGTGATTCGCTCCACGGATATCGGCCTGGATAGTCGAATTTCGTAGCTGCATGGTATACTGCTTTGTGTGAGTTTAAGTTCGCCTCCACGTCGTAAAGAGCGGGCACGTGATCGCGTGTCAAAACGTTAAAAATGTTATCGTATGTCAAATCAATGAGCAGTAGAACGTAATCAGCAGGATAATCTGTAGTCACTGCGGTAGCCATGAATGCGTGCTGTTAACAAGAAACCTAACTAGATAGCAATAGCCTGTGAAAAACGGATTTTTCTGTGCGTCCTTATGGTTTGTCCATATAGGCGGCCAACATTGCCGATTTATCTGAGTAGAGCGACTGTATCCGTGGCATATTTATCTGTGATTACGGAACGATGAAAATGTTCCCTGTGCTACCTAATCTGCCACCGCAGAACTGTCCTGTGTGATCATATGCCGAGGCTGTAAAGACCCCTTGCTCAAGACGCCGTCACAGTAGATGTAAGAATGCAGATTAGAAATTCGTTGCATTCTTACCGGTGCTACCCAAATACCAGACACGTAGCACATGAAAGAAGCAACTTTCCGGAGCAGATCGGCCGAGTGTTGAAGCACGTGGTTATTGTCGGAGTCGACGGTGCGTCGGCACAACTACCACAAAGCTAACAAGCAGGCGATGTCTTATACCTTCTTGAATGACGTTCATATTTTGATAAGCGATCAACGTTTAACGCATCGCTAGATTTCTGTAAAGTACGCTGATGGAAAGGAACCAGTGAAAGTTTACTATTTGATCAAAATCACTAAGGTACCAGGTAAAAGTAAATATCTCTTCGAAAGTTAAGTAATAAACGTATAAATGACAGTGGGAATAAGGAAAAAAATCAAACTAGGGACAAAACTATGAACAAGACAGCTATAAGCAATTTACTGCACATCGGCATTAACGTAAAGTGATACAGAGTTGCTTTTGAGCTCAGATCTTTGTCTTTAGCTTGAACCCATACCTGAACTGCCAGAAGGAGCGTCCAAAAATATGCAGCCCGGCCAGTGACTCGAAACAATAAAAAAGCAATGCCGACTTCAAGTAAAGAAAATTGAACCTCTCTATCGAACGCTGATTAATCGAGTCGACGAATTGAGTTAGTCGAATAGGCGAACTTCTTTGACATCGATCATCTTATCCTTGTCTCATTGAGGAGTAGCCATGAACAAATAAAATGCTGGTTGTCTTGCTTCACTCGATATGACATTAGTAAAGAAGTTTCCCATTTACAGACTTAATTTAGTTATTTAGTTACTGTTCAGTCCAACGGTCTTTGGCGTGACGCTGTGGTAGATTATGGAAATATCTTTTATTTAAATTGCCAACGTTTCGGTCATTGTCGTCTGAACATTCGAGCAGCGATCACGTTGTTGGTATAATTGATCGAAATCCTCAGTCTGGTCAATTTTTCGGCAGAACCTGCTTTGTTCAAAAATATTGCATCGGTTTAGACCACGGAACACGCAATGCACCGCTGCATATATTATGGAAAATGGAAGAAAATCTCATAAACCACTTTTTGCAAATGGCAGAAATACAAAGCGATGCTAAGAAATTGTATTTCATCTGACCAATCGCACAGGAGTGAAATATTATCTATATCGCATATCTGGTCTCTGACTGGCATGAACTAAAATCGTCCAGTGTCAGAGTAGGAAGACGTCATGTATGCGATATTCGATTTATCCAATTAGATATCTGTTCGTTCTCTTCATCATACATAGACAGCGAGGTTCATGGTGGTACTGAACTAGTGCAGCTATTGCATACACAAATGTCGTTTTGCACAAATGATTAAGTGATGCGCATTGATGTTACCATAGAGGAAGTCGTTCCTACGCTTATATCATTTGAAGTCGTACTTGTCACCAGTGATTACAGATTCGCTAATGACGTTATCAGTCTAAAAATCAGATGGCGCTAAAACCTCTAATAAACAGTACACTTCGCATTCATTGTCACCAGTAACAAACACTCTTTGCCTTTAGACGAGAAACCAAACAGCGTTGAAGACGCAGAGGCATCATTTTCTCCAGATAGCATAAGACCACAGAACTCAGAAGAAAGAAACGGTGACGAGAGTTGCGCAGTGCAACACGACCATACGTTCGACAAGGAGAGCAAAGAGAAGAATCAAGACCAGGGTTCACAACAACCGCTGGTGGCAGCGGACGAAGAAGCAGCTGCCAGTTCTGAAACACCACATGTGGAAGGTAAAACACTGGACAACGGAAGCGAATCCGAAGCGCTTGTAAAGCAGAATGTTCTGGCGCAAAAACTGGAAGAAAGAGGATCGCCTTCTGGAAAACAAGTAGAAAGTAAGCAACATCAGCCAACAAACGAGAGCGCGAACAGTGATCAGAACCAATGGTCAGGCAAAGAGAACGCTGCTGTGGTTTCCTTGGGAGATTTACAAGCGAACGAGGTTTTAGTCCAAAGCACGCCGTTGGAAGAGAAGGCAGGTGAACTGATTTCGGAAGTCACGACACCGAAAACAAGCGACGAGAAAGTCGACGTCGAACTTGAAGATCGTCCATGTCAGCCGGCAGAGACAGCAGGAAACGAAAGTAAGACCTTGGCTACGCTGCAACAACCAACAACAGAACGGTCGATGACCGGGACAGAAAACACGAAGAAGTCGAAGGAAACAGAAGAAGCGAAAGTCAACGATGAAGACATAGTTGATTCTTCTGAAAAGTCAGTTGACAAAAACGATTCCGGATTTCCCATGGAAGATAACCATGCCGGTTTATCTGACCTGGAAAGTTTTCCGTTGCAAGAAAAGGTAACTGTTTTAAAAATAACACTTCACCGGGAGAACCCTTCGTCAAAATCAAATCGACGTCGTGTCGTATTTACGTAAGCTTGAGAAGTGCCCATTAAGAAAAAACTTTAAATCATTGAAAGTCCGTTAGTTTTGAAACTCTACTCTTTGCTGAGCTCTCTTGTATACAGAGGAAATGAATGACCTAATCTTCGTTCTAAGTCCAAGTAGATTTTCGGTGTTCATATTTTCACATCGTGCAGACAGAATGAACCTTCTAATTATATGAGAAAAGTATTTTGATGTGAGAAACTTGGTGCTTTGTTCGTCAAAATGAATTTTAGAAATTCGATAATTGAAATGTGAAACAGGAGAACTAATTTGTTAGGACGATTATGCTTTTATTTTGTAGTTGATTTTTGCCAAATAACTACTTAGTTAGCAGTAATTTTTGGGATTCTATTCAAACAATAAAATATCATTAAAAATAGAAAGCACGACGATTGTCAAAGTCAAACAGTAAGCTAAACATTCATTATGATTTCTGAAACTCATTTCAATTCTGTGTCTTC